TCTTTTTTCCAGCCACTGTTCTCAATCAAAAGCCTCATCGTTAAAACATTTGAAACACGTGTGGAGAAAACAGCACTAATAAGTGGAAAAAAATCACTAATTAACATGATATATACAGAAGACAAACGAGGAAGCAGAATAATATTTTGCTGAAAAGTTTAGTCTTCCCAAAATAACTTTCAACGTGAAAAATGATGAACAGAATAGCGAAACTTTGGAATTTCTCCAACATCGTGCTTTGGGTTTTTTGGTTACGTCGTTCAGTGCAGTTAATTTGGAGAAATCAAAAAGCGTATATAACTTTCACGATTGATAGATTGGTTCGCAACAGGGCACTCACTGAATCACAGTGAGTGTTGTTAATTTGGTAGTAAGATCCCTTTTAGCAGAACAGCATTGGGTTGTTTCATTTCTGTTTATTGTCGTTTTGCACTGTTACGATATCCAATTTTTTTCAACAGTTTTTCTACCCAATATCTGTTACCACTTTATAGATTAATCTGTGATGGATGATGCCGGATCACCAGAGGATGATTGGACGCTGGACTTTGAGAGAGTTTTTGAGGTAATTTTGTTGATCATTGGGCGTAACTCTACTCTGCACATCTCTCATACGCTATTGACTTGATTCCCCTGAAACTAAAGATGTAAAGTTCATAAAGCTTGCTGTAAAGTAAAACTTTTTAACGCCTACAAGTGAACAGCAACAAAGTTATCACTTCTTTTTTATTCCAAGTGGGCCTCAGAATGATTGTCTGCAAATTATAACTCAAGTGAGATAAGCATTTTTGAAGTGAAGATTTGCATGAAGGTGGAAATAGATGAATACTGTAAAAAACTTCATTTTCAACAACTGTGCAGGTAAAGGCGCCAGTAGTGGAACATAGGATTCTGTTTTCAAAACCTTTTTCACTTTCTGAGGGGCCGTTGGTGATGAATTTATATTTTTTCAGTCACCATCTTCTCTCTTAGTGTTTAAAAAATTCTCATCTTTCCAGTGAAGTTTTTTTCAACTTTTATGAAGTTGAATATAAATATATTACTTATTGCATAATAACTGCAGGTTTTCTTTAAGATGCAAAGTAATGCCTAATTTGGTTTCTCTGTTTGTTTTTTTAGGGCATTTTTAAACAAATCAAAAGTTTTTTGTTTTAGAACTACGAAAACGCCCGGAGTTATAACGAAAATGATTTGTTAGGCTTCGTCTTTGGTAACAGCTGTACAAGACATATCAGTAGCATTTTATTTAGCTCTCCTTTTAACCTTGATGGTGCAGCTGATTTTATAATGTTTGCGGAGTCGTCGTACTCTTCTGGTGTGTTATTTGATGAATGTTTCATTTAGGGTTTCTTCTCATTTTTTCTTGCGGTTGTTTTGTTATAGTTTTTTCATTAAAGATTTGAATGGTATGAGCGCTTTTAGAGGTTGTCTTTGTCGGTTTATTGGTGCTAAAGGATGCAGAATATAACTTTGATATCGATGACTTAAGTACGGTTGTGAAGGAACCAGAGGTTTTCTTGCGTATAAATGCCACTACTGAGGTGCTTGAGACTCATAGTGTTGGTGGCTTTATAGATTGTTGCTACCCTTTGCCCGTTCGGTGAGTTGGTGGAAATATTTTTTATTTTTATTTTTGGCAGGTTTTTTTGTTTAGTTTCTAACTGCAGCTCATAGCATGTTACTTTGCTTTTTCATTTGCAGTTTATTTTTGGACGTGACTTTTTTTCAGACCTTTTGTAGATGACAAACATGTTGGCTTTACTGCAGCAGTTTTAATGCAGTTGGACTGGCACTTGAAGATAGCAGACTTTGATGTGTTCAAAGAAACGGTGGAAGCTGCTGTAGATCAGGACGTACAGAATGTGAATACTTTTTGTTTTTTTTGTCCAGAAACTTCTTCGATTATTGGCTTGAAAAATTGTGAGAAAGACATCAGTGAACTTTTCAAAGGTTGTGGAAATATGTGTTATGAGGTTTGTTATTCTTTTTTGTATTCTTTTCTTGTATAGCTTTCTAACTTCAATTTATTTGTTAACTTGTATTCAGAAGTGTTGTTTTATAACTTCTTTCTGGCTCCGTCATATTTGCTGTTTGAAACTAATCTCCCTTTAAATTCGTCATTGAGTTTTCCTATTTTACTTCTTCTTCTATTTTTTCCTTGCAGTATACGTTCTTCTCGAACCTGGTCGTTTCTCATTAGAGTTTAAATTAACTGGTGTAAAAATTTCGAAGGATTTTTGAAAGAAGTTAAGCTTTATAGACAGTTAAAGAGTTTACTCCATTGAGACCTGTGGATTCCGAAAGTGAAGACAGTGAGGGGCCAATACTCGTTCCTATTGTTAGGATTTGCAAAGGTAGGTGAAACTGGTCTGTAAGTTTAGGTCTGCATGGTAAACTTTGCAAGGTTTACTATACTTTTTCGCAACATAATTTTATTTGATTTGCGATTTGATCAGTGA